CAAATTCAGGATCATTCAAACCTAGATGGCCGAGGTAAGGATAATGTCTGAACTAACTTCTTTTGGACACATAAATTAGGCTTCTTAATGTGGATCCCAACAGCCAGCCTCAGCGATATTTAGTAGTCGAACTCTTAAGGTAAAGTTAAGATTAGTTGGTTTGTATGCGCGGTAGATAACTTTGAAAGCTGCCTCGTTAACATCAATCTTGTGTTCTGGATCCACAAGATGAGACAGAAAAGCGCTACGAATAGATTTTGTTTGTCCTTTATTTAAACACTATGCAGGATGATGTTCGGAAATCCTATGATAAACACGCCTAATTGTATGGCCTATGCGAACTAACTGGCTCCAAGGAAGTTAAATTAGTAGATACACATGGAAGAGGCGAAATTAGGCAGTGTGTGGTTAAGTAAAGGACAAACAAAATCTATTCGTAGCGCTATTCTGTCTCATCTTGTGGATACATAACACAAGAGTGATGTCAATGAGGTAACTTTCAAAGTCATTTACCATATACCAACCAACAAATCTTAACTTCGCCCTAAGAGTTCGATTACTAAATATTGCTGAGACTGTTGGGATCCATATTAAGAAGCCTTATTTATGTATCCAAAAGAAGTTAGTTCAGACATTATCATTACCTTGGCCATCCAGGTTTGAATAATCCGGAATTTTTTGTGGAATTTCCCTAATTTTAGTTGATATTCTATTTGCTACTATATCTTTATTATTATAATAATAATTTAAGCATCTTTAATGAACTGTGATTCCATTGTGATCTTACTTTACTAATCGATATTATTTTTAAAAAACACTAATATTGTTATTGACTACTATTCTAGAATATTCTATATATATAAATATATATATATATAACTGTAGAGCCAGAAGAGGAAATTATCGGAAAGGATATTCTTTGCTGCTCAATTATTTTGTGTTTTAATAAGAGATTGTGTTCAAAACATCAATATCCAGTACATAGTACTGTTTTACTGTTTCACGCACTACCACAGTGCCCAAGTTCTACACAACTGATTGGCTCTGAAGTAGATTTCGTCATAAGCAGCTGTCCTGTCCACTGACTGCCTAATCGTCAATGTTTCTCTAAGTGTTGTTGTTGTTGCTTTATGATGAAACTGAAACTGAAATCAATCAAATTCTTAGAACTCAACTCATTAATTTAAAAATCACTGTGGAGATCTGCTGTACTTAGTCAACGCAAAGGACAAGATTCAAGTCTTCAACGCTAATATTATCAAGTGAGTCAATTATTCAGTCAGTCCCTAATTGTGCTGGACTGGATTGTACAGAAGACTGTACTTAGGAATAAGAAGACAAGGATTATATTCTACCGATAAGAACAATCTAGAAGACTTGGATTTCGCATGTGGATGATTTATGTTTCATTTTACACAAACTCGAAGACTTGAAGGCAGGCGAAAACCAACAACTCGGCTGAAGAAGCTGCCTGGCAGAGAAGACAGGACTCCAGATGAACATAGAGAAGATGGAGGTGATAAAGATAACCAACCAACCAACAGTGACAGAAACAACAACGCATACCAATCACCGCCAACAGGAGACATTCAACAGAGGTTACTTCATTCACTTATCTGGTCAGGAACCACGGTTTCAACCACAAGCCAGAGGATCGGATGAGGATGTCAAAGCCAGACAGAATCGGAAAGGCAAGGTGCACCTTTATCAATCTGAAATCAGTTTGGAAATCTTCTGCACTCAGTTAGCAAGAAGAACAAGATTCAGATTTTCAACACTAAATGTTGAGACAGTCGGGTCTTCTGTATGGTCAGAAGCTTGCACTGCGTGTGAGTCACGAAAAGCATTTCCAACAGGCCACAGCGAATTTCTATCAACAGCTACCTTCGCTCACACCACACTGAAGATCAAATGGCCAACTGACCAGAAAGAATTAGCAACAAGAAACTCTGGCTGGCAACAAAGCAACGAAGAGTCGATGTAGGAGAAAGTGGAGATGCATATGCTTATAAGGAGACAGCCGAATGACATCACTCGTTAGGCAGGCCATTGCTTGAGTGGAATCCCAATGGGAAGAGACGAGTGGGTCGACGATGCAGGGGTAACATGGAGACAATCGTTTGGGAAGGAAGAGATGTAAAAATATGGACAATCGAGGACCAAGATGAAGAGGACAGCAGACAATAGAACAAAGTGGAGAAGTGTTGTTGAAGCCCTATATTCCCCTTGGAACCCAAGGGAGTAATAATAATGAACGTTACATCCGCGTGTGGACATTACGTGATTGAAGGCAATTGGGAAGAAGCTGTGAGGCCAAGGTTTCATGTAATTACAGCCTCAAAGGAAGTGACTGATGTTCCACACCAGATATTGCTAACCATCATAGGAGTTATTACTGAACTTTTCGGGTTACCTGTTGACTGCCTCCAACTACTTAAATACCAATCCAAAGAACACTGGTGAGTCACCTAGCTTAGAGACTGACTGTCTGTTTGTACTCGACATAGAACTTTGCACCGATGCGCGGCAGTTCAAGTCGCCACACTCCACTCCATGTAACACACAAAGCAAGAGAAGAAAGTAGAAGAAATGCATATTAGAAACAGTAAACAGAGGTGTGAGACAAAGGAATAGTAGTAACGCGGAACAATATAGTTTCATTGGAAATCATAAGTCACAAGGACTGGATGCATCTGCGCCATTAAGCTTAGAGACTACATCGTACGCTTGACTGACGCGAAAGGGGGTAAGCTGATATTAGAAGGCTAGTTTCGCATATGCCAGTTTACGCCGTCTCTGGCTCAATAGACGTGATATCCGGCTGGCTATCAACCAAAGGACGTGCTTACTGCTCAGCAGCAGTCCGCTCTGTCCTCCTTTATGGCTGCGAGACCTGGCCATTGGAAGTGGAAGATATGAAAAGCCTGGCTAGCTGTCTTTGGTTGTAGGTGTCTGTGTTCTGTCTCCCGTGTGAAGTGGTATAATAGGGTAAGCAATATTGAGGTGACGCATTGGTCGAGTGCTACGTAGGTGGGAGGGGAAATCAATAGAGGGGGCTGTGAAGCAGTTGCATTGATTGACATGGTTAGGATATGTGTTACGTGTGCCTAGCCATCGCCTTCCTCGACGTCTAGTGTTAACTGACATAGGATCAGGTTGGAAAAGAGCTAATGGTGGTGAGACCAAAACATCAGTCAATGAAATCCACAACAGTTAGTTTAAGCTAGTCATGTAGGCAGGTGTAGACTTCCTGACTGGTTGGGCTTTTCGGGATGATGGTGAAAACCAATGAAGGCTGGAGACAATCGGTGATATGGCTCAAAGTGATCGTTCCCCATGGCTGGTGCAGATGCATCCACTCCTTGTAACTTATAATATTCAATAAAATAATGGTGTCCTTTGATTTCACAGCATTATATACTTCAATTAGTCCAAAACTAGCAACAGAAACTATGCAACAATTACTCTATAGTGATGAAAACACAAAAACGCAATTATCAACTTGGATAGAACTCATAAAATTATGCCTTACAACATACTTCCAGTTCAATACTCAAATATATGAACAAATAAAAGGAACACCAATGGCATCGCCCATATCAGGACTAATAGCTGAAGCCGTTATGCAAAGATTAGAATTAATAGCTCTACCTATAATTAAACCGAAAATCTGGATACGTTACGTTGATGATACATTTGTAATAATTAAGAGAAGTGATCTAGAATATACTCATAAATTAATAAACAACATATTTGAAGACATCAAATTCACGAGAGAAGAAGAATTAGATAACAAAATCCCATTTTTAGATTTAGAGACACAAGTATATAGAAAATCAACGCCCACACATAGATCAAATACTCAACTATACTAGCAACAACCCAATTACTCACAAACGAAACTGTGTGCAGACATTGTTTAAAAGAGTTCAGACACATTGTAGCACTCCAGAGTTGAAAAGAATGGAAGAAAAGTACCTACAAACGGTCTTCAAAAAGAATAGTTATCCACAAAATTTCATCAAAAAGTGTTTAAAGTCGAATCAAAACACCAACAAGAAACCATCATCAAAGACCACAAGAAAATTCATTCTACCATACATGAGGAATATCTCTGAAATAACAGCCAGAATACTGAAACCGTTTGATATAGATATAGCACACAAACCAGTAAAATCGCTTAATTCGATATTATGCAAACCAAAAGATCCAACAGAAAAAGGGGATAAAATTAATACCATTTACAAAATAAATTGTATGAACTGCAACAAGCATTACATCGGCCAAAGTGGGCGTCCCCTTCGAATCAGAATCCAAGAACATAAATCAGCCGTGAAAAGACACGATATGTATTCTTTAGTATCAATGCATATAGACAATTATGGTCATCAATTTGATTGGGATAATGTCAAAATCTTAGACAGAGGAAACACGAAAAGTGCCAGAGAATTCCTAGAAGCCTGGTACTCAAGCGAAAATGCAATTAACAAACACGTTAATATAGATGAAATATACCAACTAATAAAAAGTAAATCAGGTGACCAGAAAGTTTAAAATCCAAGTCAATAGAAAATGGTCAATACATATGTTAAGATAGTTACCAGGAGACGCAATTATATCACTATTCATGGAAAATTTAAATCAGTTCACTTTACGCTAAAAATTGCGCTGAAAGGGGATGTTGTCCAGAAGGACGACGAAAGCTTCGCAACTAAACCAACCAGCTCAGAGAACACTATTAATTCCAAAACTATACTGTTCTTCGATATTATTATTCTTTTTGCCTCATATCTCTGTTTGCTGTCTCTGTTTTGCATTTCTTGTTATTTTCTTTTCTGGCTTTGTGTATTGAGTGAAATGTGGCGACTCGAAATGCTGCACATCGGTGCAAAGTTGTTCTATGTTGAAACCAGTCAGTCAAGTGAGGATTGGATGAATTTAAAAACAAGAAATATTTACAATGAAAACAAATGAGAGAAATGCATTTGTAGTCTACTTACAGTATATTTATGCTGACAATCTGATGGCATCCCACCATCATGTTGCCATGTTTCTGTCGCTAAGGATTGTTTCAATGTTGGTGCAACAAAATCTGAATATAAATCTAAAATGATCAAAACAGAAATTCCCCAGTTGATTATTATTAATATTTTTTCTTTTTAACAATATTAAGATTGAAAGTATAAATTTATTTTCAAGTATTGGTTTGGTAGGGATTCTGTTTAATTGTATGGAGGATTTCATCATGAGCTGACATCAGTTAGAGAACCACTAGAAAACCTGGGAGTACTGGACAGCTGTTTCGTCCTAGTTTGAGACTCCTCAGCAGTACGCGCCCACCGGGATTCGAACCCAGGACCTTCTCATCTAAGAAGACATTGCGAAATGGTCGCGCTATGTCGTGAATTGGCAGAAGTTAGAATTCAAGGACCATTGGATCGGGTCCCAGTGGCTCAATGGTCTACGAGCTCGCCTTGTAACCAGAAGGTCCTGGGTTCGAATCCCGGTGGGCGCGTACTGCTGAGGAGTCCCAAACTAGGACGAAACAGCTGTCCAGTACTCCCAGGTTTTCCAGTGGTTCTCTAACTGATGTCAGCTCATGATGAAATCCTCCGTATAAATTTATATTAGAGGAAATCTGTTGTGAATCCTAGATGAGAAAGAGAAACATTTGATTCAGTAGAGGAAGAAACTCTTTTCGGCAATTTTAATTCCTACAGCCGAACAGAATTAGTTTCATGAATACTTTTAATAGTATTAGAGTCTTCGGTGTAGGATCCATCCAAACCTCTATGAAAAGTGCATTCGTTGTAGTATCCATGAGAGTAGTGTTCTTCAACTCAGCATTTATCTTCAGCCAACCTCAAGAGACAAGATCTTCTATTTGACAAAGTCTATTCGTTGCAGCTCAATGTTAGAAAAGATGGCAAAACAATAACCAAATCAAAAGTTGGTATCGATCAGTCCCCATGAAGTCTTTGATAAGATGGTTTGAGCCAGCCACGTAGGGAAGTGTAAACTGTTTGGCTGGAGTCCTCAAGATGATAAGAACCAATGACTGGAGATTACTGGTGATATTCCTTAGACAGAAAACAAGTAGTCCAGCAAAGAGTCTCTTTTCGACGGTGAATTCATTTTCATAGCTGTACAATCGCAAATATATATATGGTTGTTTTGTATGTGTGTGTACATCAAATTTGTCAAACGAAAATACAATTTGTAAGTTCAGATGAATTGGATGTTGATATAAGTGGGTAGTAACAAAAGTGATGAGTTGTCACAAACGATCGTTAAAGAAGAGTTACGTAATAACATGAATAGTTTAATGAAAGAGTTGTGCTCAGGGTGTACATGGAAACAAAATATACGGAATTACACAAGGGTTTTAAGTAGAAAAATAAGCATAAAAACAGTGACGTCCTTAGAAGGAGAATCTCCACCTCTTTAAGAAGAACTTCCTTTGCGCAAACATTGAGAGTAGTGTTCTCTAATTGCCCGCCGATCTCCAGATGCCCAAAAGACAAGTTCCCGCACCTGACCAATTCTATGTGTATATATCAGTTCACCTGTCACTGTGGAGCCAGGTACATCGGTCGTTCAACGCATATCCTGTCAAAAAGGGTCAAAGAACACTATCCAGCGTGGCTGCAGAATGGAAGTAATGGCTGCATAAGGAGTGCAATAATCGAACAGCTCGTTAACACTGGTCATTCCATCTCAACAAACGCCTCATCCTTCAAAGTAATCTACAAATTGAAGAACAACCTTCCAAAGACAGTACGATTCCATCTTCTTTGCATCGCAAAAGCCCTAACCATTCAGTTGGAGGAGGAACCAGAACTGTGCATACAAAAGAAAATTATTCAACCACTTCTACTCAATTAATATAACTGTACTACACTGTGTGATTTATCAAAATAAAATCTTATCCATTATGGAATTACACTTCTACTCCCATGGTAACAACTGTGTTGATTTGACTTAACTTTTCTTTGTATGCTTATTTTTCTAACTACTTAAAACTCTTGCGTAATTCCGTATGTTATTTTGTTTCCATGCACACCCTGAGTACAACTCTTTCATTAAACTATTCATGTTATTACGTAACTCTTCTTTAACGATCGTTTGTGACAACTCATCACTTTTGTTACTACCCACTTATATCAACATCCAATTCATCTGAACTTACAAATTGTATTTTCGTTTGACAAATTTGATGTACACACACATACAAAACAACCATATATATATTTGCGGTTGTACAGCTATGAAAATGAATTTACCACCGAAAAGAGACTCTTCGCTGAATTACTTGTCTTCTGTCTATTAATGTTCGAATGGGAATTTTTCATGAATGTTCCTCAGAATCGTTCTCAGTGGGGTAAATGCATTCACTCTTTGTGGTCGAACTCCCATATCTACTACACCGTCATGTTTTCCCATGTTAGATAACAATTACCCGCTGAGATTCATTAAGCGTTACAGAAGTGTCAACTAACGAGGTGTACCAATCCAATCAGCTCCCAAAAGGGATTTTTATATATCCTTGCCGTTCAGGGGTGATCAACAAAGTCTGGTCACTAAACAAAGACTCAAGGTGACAATTAATAGAACTTACTATACAGCCAAACTTATTTACACAGAGAAAACGAGATCTATGCTGTCTTGTAAACCGTCACAGCGACCGAACGATAGTGTCACATCCCATTGTGTTTACCAGTTTACATGTATGTTTGAACACACGTGCATAGGGAGCACTCAACGGTCTCTGAAGATTAGGGCTACAGAACATATTCCAGAGTGGTTGCGACAACAAATAAAATCACCGGATACAACTGATCCCAGAAATAGATGTGTACAACATCATCTATAGCGAAGCACATCATAGAGACGGTTCACAAGGTTGATTTTAATAATTCCCTTAAGCCCATATATAAAACAAGGTTGGGTTACATACTTAAAACGGCCTAAACCTGTTTTATGTTCCCGAAAGTTATTTGTTATTACTGTAAACCTGCCTTGTTTATCCAATTTAGAACCTCTTTCTTACCCACACCTTTGCGTCATTTCCCTATCCCTTATTTGTGACCTGGACATGTACACAATTTCACCTGTATTGTAATAATTCATGCCTTCTTGCCTTTTATATGTCATACAATCAGTTCTAGTTCACTGTTATAACCTGTTGTTTTTCATCCCACTAGTTTGGAAATCATCGGCAGTATACACCCACTGCCAGGGGATTCGAACCCAGGACCTTGTGGTTACAAGGCCAGTGGGCTCGTATACCATTAAGCCACTGGGACCCAACCCCAGTGGGTGCGTACTACCGATGATACCCGAAATAGGGTGAAACAGCTGTCCAGTACTCCCTGGATGGTTTTCCAATGGCTCTCTAACCAATGTCAGCTCATGATGAAATCCTCCAATCAGTCAAACAAAATCCCTACAAATCAATACTTGAAAATTATTTAATTCAATGTGAACTTTCCCGTTGATTGATTGGACCGAAGTGCTTGGCCTCAAGTGGACATGTCGACTGCTTGTGAGGATGTTCTGACGATGTCTGAGGATTTAACTTGAAGTTATTTCGTAGATGGTGACTAGCAATGGTATCCAGCATGCGTATTTCATCCCATTTGGGACTCGTCAGCTAACTGAATGTACCTGCTTCCCCCTCCAGTGAGTCAGTGATGTTGCTCCCATTGATGCTCGACCCAGTATCCATCTTTTCAAACGTCAAAGCTTTATCCATTAGGCTACTTGGGCTACGAGTGTGACCCACATCTTTTGTGGCAGTTTTCAGTTATCGTTTAATTCAAGACTCTAGACAGTTTCACAGTATTAGAAAGGTAGAGGAATATTTCAGTGTTATTTGTTAAAATTCTTATTCTGAATTACCTATTGCTCGATTTTATTACAATTAAATATTCCATTTCTGTTGATGTGTCGGCTTGAAGTATGGATGCTTCGAAGATGTTATAAGGTTCAAAGGATTCTACCTAAGATGTGAATTTCGAGCCAGGACTCAAATCTAGTGCCTATCGTTTCAAAAACACATTCACTCACTAGGAATGAAGGTACATCCAGGTGACGAGCGCTATATATATATATATATATATATATATATACGATGAAATGAACATCTTCGACGCCAAAGCTGACCAGCATGAATTAAATAACATATATTTAAATTGAGAGAAGTTAGAATTCATGAACTGGCCATTGGATCGGGTGGTCCCAGAGGCTCGAGATCGCCTCGTTACCGGAAGGTCCCGGGTTCGAACCCCAATGGGGTGGGTGCGTACTGATGAAAAGTCCCAAACTAGAAGTAAAGAAACAGCTGCGCAGTAATCCCTGGTGGTTTACAATGGTGTCAGCTCGTGATCGATTCTGTAACCAATCAAGCCCCTGCAAAATAACGCTTGATAATATACTTCGATGGCTGTTTTCAACATTAATGAAATTGGTACGCCGTAAGAGTCAATTACAATATATCAAATATGTGTACACGGACGTATTTGTTTATGAAGTCAACTTTGTTTTCCTGATAATTTAGCCACTAACTGTCATTTAAAGATTGACATTTACTAGAAATTAAATAGATATAATTTATTGTATAAGTTAATAATAAGTCCATAAGAGTATTAACCAAACAGCTTCATCTCATTATTCCTGACCTTCACTTTTTAAACTTATATAATATGAATCAACAACAGTTAGAGAAACTCTGAATACCAACGGAGTAGGAAATCACTGCCCTAAAAGAGGTCGGACCCGGGAACTTCGAGTTAAAAGATGAATGGGATGGAAACCAATGGTCCATCAATTTTAACTTCTGGTGATTAGGGATATATATTGCGACAGGCAGCCAATGTCATTGACGAGTATCTGTACTTACTATCTTGATTGGTGGATGCAGGTGATTACAAATTCTCATCCTTGGTCATATGACCAAAGACACATGTTACGCTTGCATGTGACATTCTGTTGTTCGTTTACGATCTGTTAGTTAGCAAAGCATACACCTTTTAGCCCTAAAAATATCGATTTCGAGTATCATTTCGTATTTTCGGAAGATCCTATTGTTTGTCATTTTCGATTTGGTTTACTGACTGTTTTATGGTTTATATAGAGATTTGTAGGGTATTGATGATATTAGATAGTTGGAGGCAATCGGCCACAGGAAGCACTGTCTGAACCTAGGTTTCGTGCTAGTTGGCACTCACCAGTCAGCAAGGCGTATCTGCAACCCTGAAGGAATTCATGTCCCTTCTGAGATTCGAACCCGCGTCACCCAGTGCTGCAGTCAGAGACGTTACCACTGAGCTATTTGGGCTGGCTTGCGATTGACCTCCTGTAGGACTGTAGTGGGTAGTTTGATTGGACAATAGCAAACCTGACTGATAGAATTCATTCTGCACCAAAGAAAGAACTGGACACGTCACACTAGTTACTAGTGACCAATCAAACTACCCACTACAGTCCTACAGTAGGAGGTCAATCGCGAGTCAGCCCAAATAGCTCAGTGGTAACGTCTCTGACTACAGTACTGGGTGACTCGGGTTCGAATCTCAGAAGGGACATGAATTCCATTAAGGTTGCAGATAAGCCTTGCTGACTGGTGAGTGCCAACTAGCACGAAACCTAGGTCAGGCAAGGCTTCCTGTGGCCAATTGCCTCCAACTATCTAATATCATCAAATCAATGTGCACTGTGATGGCGAGCTACCTAGAATGGTGGCCACATTGCAAAGCTGACTGATAGAATTCAGTCTGTACCAAAGAAAGGACTGGACATGTCACAATAGTTACTAGTGTCCAATGAAATTAGGGTTATTGGACAGTATGCGCATACTATACAGTCATTGTATTATCTTTGCTTATCAACACTTATCTCCCAGAATAGTGAATTTTTAGTTAGGTTAAAATCTCCGGTCAAAGTCTCATTTGATACGTTAGACAGAATTAATTCACAGCAGGAACTGTTTGGGTTACATAATTTTATTATGAGCTGACATCGGCGAGGGAACCCGATTGGAAAACCTAGGACTACTAGACAGCTGTTTCGTCCTGGTTCGGGACTCCTCATCGGTACGCATTCACCGCCAGGGCTCAAACCCAGGACCTTCTGGTTAGAAGGCCAGTGAGCTCGTCGACCATTAAGCCACTGAGACCCGATCCAATGTTCAGTTCACGAAATCAAACTTGTGCCAATTCACATTCACGATATAGTGCAACCACTAGCTAATATCATCTCTGGCGAGTATCTGTCCTTACACCGGGTCTGCTGTACCCCAAGGCCAGTCGCTAGTGAGCGTCAGATTGATATTCAAGTGTTGGTTTACAGGGATTTGATTTGATTACTTACAGGATTTCATCATGAACTGACATCGGTTGGAGAACCATTGGAATTATTTTTGTAATTTACCTTAATAATTTAACTTTCAAAAAATTGAATCCTGAGTACGACTGTTTCTGTATTCATGTCTAATCCAGTTATATGTTAAGTGGCAAAGCAAATTTATGTCATATGACATAGAATAATTCATAGGATGAATAGAACTTGAAAAAGGTATGCAGTTATAAGATTAGTAGACAAATCGAATAAAATAAAAACGTTATGTAATATCGTGTGAAATTTGATAACACAATTTAATATTGCAAGACAGAATTGATTTAGAATGACGAGTGGAACAAGTGAAATAATACCGAGGATAGTCCAAAGTGAGAATAGTAGTAGTAATAATAATTGATGTAATTAAGGGAGAGTATACTAATTGAATAGACAAAATTAAAAAATTGGTAGAGCCGAAATATGATTAGAGATTAACATACTTTAGCACAGAGGGATTAAGAACATGAAAGTTGGGGGGGGGGGGTTGAACGAACTTTTTCTGTACACAGAGATCTGGCTTTTCTGTTTCGATAACCAAAGGTTCAGTAACGCAACAGATGAGTCAGGTACGTAGTGATTTCGGTTAATTACTTTTTGCCTTGTAGATGACTTTAAAGGCGGAGGATATAGAGATCATTGGGTGATCATTATCGACCAGATGTTCAATGATCACGCTTCTTATTGCTCAACTTCCACCTCTTCGTAACAACTATGCAGGATAGTGTTCTTGCATCCTCTTGGACAAAACTCGAGTCGAACGACCGATATACCTGGCTCCTCAGGAGCAGGTGAATTGATAAATGCACACAGTTACTGAACAGTAATGGTCGTCAATTTGTATACTCTTCCTTAATTACATCAATTGTAACTACTATTACTATTCTCATTTTGAACTGTCCCCAGTATTATTTCACCTGTTTTACTTGTCATTCTAAACCCAAATTGTTTTTTGCAACGTTAAATTCTATGCTATCAAATTTCACATAATATTACGTAACGTTTTTATTTTATTCGACTTGTCTACTAATTCTATAATTCAGCTATCACATGGTGTCACATGTTCTGATGTATTTCATAAACCTTAATCAGATACCACAATAGTAACCATTATTATTACATCAAAAACAATATATATATGTAGTATGACTAACCTTTGCCAAAATCGATAGACTTCGAAAAATGTTTCATTTGAAAGGTGCCATCAGCTGATTGCAAGTCAATAACTTTACTCTGTGTTGAAGTTACCACCTTTTTGTTTTGTAATAATTTAGCTAAATCTGGAAACTTTGACTTGACACTAGATGAAATGTAGGCACTTTGAAATAATGGTCGAGATATAGCCAGCTGGGTCACTATTTTTGGATAAGATAAGGTGGAAAAAAAGAAAAATAAATAAATGTTTTTATTTCAAAGTTTAAAAAATAAGTATTTCTTTGTCGTCATATGTCAAGAATTCTAAAGTAAGTTGTGGCCCCCAATTACCTGACCTGTGTAGCACCATTTCAACTACAGGTGGAATAGATCGGAATTTAAAAGTAGGTTATGATCGGGAAACTAAAACGAGCTTTCAATACTCTGAAATCAATTTGATGAATAAGATTCGAATTCACTTTAACACTAGTGTCAAGTCAGTGCTTTTCTATGGTCTAGAGAACTGGTGTGTGTGTGTCATTGATGAAAGCATTTCCGACAGGCAGCTAAAGACTTTCATCAACACGTACCTTCGGTGTCTTGACACTGAAGATAAGATGGCTGGCCAGAAAGGATAAGCAAGAAACGAAGGAGCTTCAACACTGGAAAAGCCAATAACCTTTTATTATTATAATCATCATCGTTCCGTTGGACTTCTAGAGGAACATAGTGCTTTAACAACACACCACTTTGTCCTATTCACTGAGGTCTTCTTTAGTTGCTGCTGCTGCTGCTGGATTCAACATAGAACTTGGCGCCGAAGTGCAGCAGTTCGAGTTGCCACGTTCCAAATAGCACACAAAGGTAGACAGGAAAAGGAGAGAAGAGAATCAATAGAATTTAGATAAGTATAAGAGTGAAACAGAATGAGTAATGGTAGAAAGGAATATGAAAGATTACAGAGACTGAATACATCTGCGCCATTAACAACGATTTTTTTGTCTCTAGCTATTGATTCTTACAGTCCCGAGGGTGGGTCCCAACCCGGAAGTCTGCATCTCCCTCCCTACCTGACTCAGTTTAACTGTCAAGGATTTCATGGATTGATGCCATGTTTTTGTTTGGCCACCAATTACTCTTTTCCAACCTGCACCTATATCAGCTAGTAATGCCCGTCGGGGGAGACGATGGTTAGGCATGCGCAGCACGTGACCTAACCATCTCAATCTATGTAACTTCATAGCCTCTTCGAGTGATTTTCCCTCTTTGCCCAACACTCTACGCCTAACGTCAGCATTACTTACCTTATTATACCACCGAACGCGAGAAAGAGACCGTAAACATCTGTGGTCAAAAACAAACAATCTTTTCATGTCTTCCCCTCTCAATGGTCACGTCTCACCACCATAGAGAAGGACGGGGCGAACTGCTGAGCAGTATACACGTCCCTTGGTTGACAGTCGGATGTCACGCCTACGCCAGAGTCGGTGTAAGTTAGCGAAAGCAGCCCGAGCTTTTTCGATCCATGCTGAGATTTCGCCACCAATCAATCCGTTGGTGCTGATACAACTTCCCAAATAGCTGAAGTGGTCAACATGTTCTATCACTTCACTCCCTATCACTAAGCTAGGAGTTGACGTAGTCCAGTCCTGTAGCAGCATCTTGCATTTCACAGGGGCGAATCGCATGCCAAACATACGAAGATTGCTGCTCAAGGTGTTCAGAAGACTCTGCATTTTGTCAGCATCCTCCCCTAACAGGACTATATCGTCTGCATATTCTAAGTCCATAAGACTATTCCCTGGTAACAAGTCGGTTGCTAAGTCGTTAAGTTCAGTTAAGGGTACTTCCATTAGCATATCTATGATGAAGTTAAACAGAAAAGGGGAAAGTCGACATCTTTGACGGACACCACTGGTTGTTATCAATTCAGATGACAGTTCCCCATAAGCCCTTACATGGCTACGTGAGTTTGAGTAGAGTGCCTTGATCAGTGCAATGTACTTTCTTCGCACTCCTTTTACAATCATACATTGGCTTAGCACCTCTCGATCCACGGAGTCGAAGGCCGCCTTCAAGTCAAGAAATATGGCAATTGTTGGACGCCTAAAAGTGTGTCTATGTTCTAAAATCTGTCGGAGAGTGAAGATATGATCTATGCACCCTCTACCTGGCCTAAAGCCCGCTTGATTTTCCCTCGTTTGTTCCTCCAGAGGTCGGCTTAGTCTGTGAATGATTACTGAGCCTAGGATTTTAGAGACTATGTTCGTTAGGCTGATCCCCCTATGATTATCACATGACGACTTGTCTTCCTTTTTGAAAATCGGTATAATAAGTGACTTACCCCAGTCTGATGGAACCATCTCTGATTTCCAGACGTTACCTAGTACCTTAGTTAAACTATATACTAGTATGTCACCCCCATATTTAAACACCTCCGGAATAATTCCGTGGGGTCCTGCCGCTTTGCCTCGTTTCAAATTACAGATAGCTTTTGTGACCTCACTTACAGACGGCGGGCCAGTGTCTATGTCCCTTTCGGGTGTGTGCTGGATGGCGGGGAGGCTCAGTGTGGCTGAAGGCAAGTTAAACTGTTCCTCAAAGTGTTCTTTCCAGCGTTCAAGGCGTCTATCCTGAGAACTAATTAAGGAGCCATTTTTCTCAGAAATAGTCTCACTTATGATTTGCCTTCTCCCACCCGTTTCCCTGATGAGTCTAAAGAGTTGCCTAGTGTTGCCTATCGCCGATGCTTTTTCCATCTCTTTCGCCTTTGTCAACCACCACTGTTCGCGGTCCTTGCGGAGACTTTTCGTAAGTTTCCTTTTGTGCAGCTTTCGCTCCTCATTGAATTCGGAGCTCGCCGGAATAAGTCTTCTAGCATCTATCAGTTCGGATGAGGCAGTCGAAATCCAATGGTTTTTACTCACCTTTGGATTTACCTTATTCACAGCTTTTACAGCTGTATCTATGGCTGATTGAATATTCTTCTAGGCTTCTTCAGGGTGAGCGCAGCTGTCGAACTCAGATATGTGTCTAGCTAGTTCTTCCTCAAATAGGGACTTAGTTTCCTGATCGATCTGGGGACGTGATGGTTTTACCGCCAGCTGTTTCCTACGTCCGTTCAGTCGTAAGCACACACGAGCGCGGACCAGTGCGTGATCGGTATCTACACACGTGTTCCAGAAGGAGCGACAATCCCCTACCGACCCACGCCAACGATAGCTTATTGCTATGTGGTCTATTTGTGTCCAGCGTTGGTTTGACGATGGAGGTCGCCAGGTCAAACAGTGTCTCTCCTTGTGTTTGAAGTTAGTGCTTACAAGAAACAAGTGATTATCTGAACAGAACTGTAGGAGACGGTCACCGTTGTCAGTTCGCTGGCACGGAATTCCGTATGTGCCACCGACATTCTTCTCAGATTGGCACAATTTCCCTACTTGAGTATTAAAGTCACCAGCTAAAACGACTATATCTGAGCGTTTAGCCTTTCGCAGCAGACTAGACAGCTTTTGGTAGAACTCATCCTTCGTTTCATCCAAACTGCAGTCAGTGGGGGCGTAGGCGGAGATTACGAAAAGGCATCGGCGAGTAGTGCAGTCCTTTCTCCTTTTCACTGATCCGTTCAGACGGACAGCACACATTCGGCTATCTACCCTGATCCAGTCAAGTAATGTCTTTTCTGCCCTACTACTCAAAGCTATCCCAACACCAGCTAATCCTTGTGAGCTAGCCGTCGCATCTCCTGACACCCCCAAGGTGAATTTTGCAGATTCATCCTGTTGGCCATGTGGGGTTAGGTGAATAACCACACTTGGGTCTTGTATGCGTGTTTCTGAAACACAACATACATCAATGGCTCGGGATGCCAGAGTCTTGGCTAGTGATGCTTGTTGTCCTATTTGGCAAGGCGTCCTAACATTAAATGCTCCTATATGAAATTGGTGGCGTGGCTTTAGGAGACTATCGATGGTGGCTCTTTGACTTCCATCGTTATCAGTGCACACAGAGTGAAGAGGAGGTGAAGAGCCATTAAGTAGAGGAGTTGCATTAGTAGAAGGAAGGCAAGATAATAGAGATGAAGATGAAGACAAAGGTGAGTGAGGATTAGAGAGGTTTCGTGTGCACTTCGGATTGTGAGGGCGATTGTTACTTCCCGGCTGCCCACACCGTGGAAGTTGGTTGCGTGACCGCAGAGCCCAGGGGACAACTGCTTGAGGCCTGTCTCTTTAGTTGGCTCCACGATTGTCTATAATCTCTCATCTGCTCCTCTTACGATCTCCTCTATATCAACCTCGGACCGATACCCAACTCGTTTTCCATTCGGGTCTCACTCGAGTGATGGCCTGCATTGAGCGCGATGTTATTCGACGGTCTCCTCGGTATGTGACCAATCCATCTCCATTTTCGCCTAAATATGTGTTGCACAACAGATTCTTGGTTAGTTTGTTTCCAGAGTTTCTTGTTGTTAATTCTTTCTGGCCATTTGGTCCTGAACATGAAACCAGCGAAGAGGGCAGCTGTTGATAAAAGTCTGCACTAGCCTGTTGGGAATGCTTTGCGTGACTCACGCGCACTGTAAGTTTCTGACACATAGAAAAGAACTGACTAACTTCACATTTGTGCTGAAAATTCGAATCTTGTTGTTTATTCTACGGACTGCAGAAGATTTCCAAACTGAGTTCAGAGTATCGAAGGTGTACCTTGTTCTTTCCGATTCTCGCTTTGACATCTTCATCCTAATGCTCAATAAATGTGGACAAAGAATATTGAGAAGCATTGGATATACTCTAAGGAAACAAACTTTCAAGTGATAGCATACCACACCCTACAATATAATCTAATTGGAATCAAAGATTTGAGTTTGGTTCTCAAGAGGCAATGAAAGCTTTTGAACCTGTCACACAGACAGTTGCAAGTGACGGTAGAAAACTGAATGGAATAGAGAAATGCTGCTGTAGCCCTTTATTTCACTGGAAACTAAAGGAATAAATAATAATACTAATATGGTCGTAATCAGTACAAGAAACCCTGTTTAACAAAGAGTATCAGATATCTGATAAGGAGTGAAATGGTTGGTGGAGCGCGTTGACCACTTCACTTATTTGAGGAGTTGCAGCAGCCAGACCAGCGGGTTGATCGCTGACGAAATCTCAGAACGGATACATGAGGCTCATTTGGCATTTGCCTACCAACTTACGCCATCTCTGGCTCAGTCAGTAGACGTGATATCCAGCTAGCTGGCTGTCAACCAAAGGACGTGCGTACTGCTCATCAGTCTGTTCTATCCTCCTTTACGGCTGTGAGTGAGACATGGCCATTGAATGTGGAAGACATGAAAAGTCTGGCTGTCTTTGATCATACGTGACTGCGTTCTATCTCCTGTGTTAAGTGGTATAACAAGGTGAACAATATTGAGGTGAGGCAGTGGTCGAGTGCTACGTAGATGGGAGGAGAAATCAATAGATGAGGTTGTGAAGTAACGTAGATTGAGACGGTTAGGACACGTATTACGCATGAATCCCTTGACATTGCTTTCTTCAACGGCCAAGGTTACGTGACATACGATCAAGTTGGAAAAGAAAGAGCTAGTGGTGGTCAAGCCAAAACATGGCTTCATCATTCAATGAAATCCATAGCAGTTAGTTTGAGTCAACTAGCCACGTATGGAGGTGTAGACTGGCTGGCTCACTGGTTTGGGTCCTCGGGATGGTAAGAACCAATGGCTAGCGACTATTAGTGATATGGCTTGAAACCGTTCTGTGGCGCAGGTACATTCACCCTTTGTGATTTGCCAGTCATATCCAATAAAGCTCTATTGTTCTTCCATATTACTATTCTTTTTCCCTCACTCACACTTCTGTTTATTATCTCTCTTTACTGTCTTCTCTTGCTTTGTGTGGTACATGGAGGAAGTGTGGTAACTCGAAGTACTGCACATCAGTGTAAAGTTCTATGTAGAAACATTCAGTCACATTTTTAGGTGTAAATTCATTTTATATATTTATTTGGTTGGTTTTGTAAGATTAGGTATAAAAATTTTAGACGAAAGACGTTTACAAGACTTAAAAACGTTGCTACACAGGTTAATAAAGTAACACAAAAGGAAATAAGTGGAGTTGCATAACAAGTTAATTACTGTTTTTTGTTACCATTACTAAAACCACTCATTATTCAGCAAAAGACATGAGTTTTTTAATGTAGTAGAGTTAAAATTAACGCACATACCTAGTGATTTGAGCACACTCTTTTTAAGTGTGATACATAAAAGATGTTGACCATATGTACGTCCATTAGTTGGATATAGATAAGATGTATTTGATGAAGATAACTTAGGTATGCTATGAATGACCCAGAACCCAGTGTCTGAATTGTCAAAAGCGAATGCACCTAACAAAAATGGTGTAAAAATACACACAACTCACCCTTCATATGACCCCACCAACTATTATCTCTTTCATCAACTGTGAAATTATTTATTTTAGGTATCTCGTCATTATACATCCCGAACACAGCGTCGGGTTCACCAATTAGACTATACATAGCATCGTAAGTCTTTTTCATCATTCCACCTGAGTTTATAGGTTTTGAAGACACTTTCCAATTTCTTTGGTCCGGATTAATAAACACAACATCAAAACTACTAGGTAGTTTATAGCCCACAAACCTTGTGAAGTAGTTATTATATACAGAAATTACCAGTCAACTTCCTTTCCGTCATCGTCAATGCATGAAAGAGAGTTGACCAATCTGAGGATAGAGAAGGCGACGTAACAGAGAACAAACAACATGTTATCAGCTGACAAACTTTAAAAATCCGAATATTTGCGTAGGTCACACAACTGCAAGTTCAAACAACTAAACAAATATTCCTATGATTACAACACTGCTTCAGAAACAAGGATCTTTGATGTGCTTCGATTTTCAATGTTTTCTCACAACAAAATACTTAGCTAAGCAGAAAGTACTACAAATTTTACTACTCTTTTGAACGTCATGTGGACACAACTAGGTGTTGGTTGTAGATAATACATTAAAGCTGTGCGACTCTGTGCAAAGCACTGAAGGATTTGACTCGCCGTCTGCCGAATAAAACGGTTCATAAGGGTTGACTAGTTCTCTTTTTAAACCCTGATTTGCGAAACTTTGTTAGTGAAATGTAATCTGCACGTTCTACATAGTTAGCAGTCACTGCTGAAGCTTGGAGTTGAAAGTCAGAAAGTTCTACGGAATTATTAGCGAACGAATGGCTTGCAGTATTTTGGTAGTGTTTGTAAATACAAAGGTCTAGAATCACCTTGAAGGCAACAGGTTCAGATAACTGCCCTCTGTCGGTTGTCACATAAGAAAGGTGACAAACTACAGACTCCACAGAAGTCTAGAGTATCCCCATTTTCCTCAAGTCAACTGCTGGAGGGACTTTATTAGCCTAAATACAGGACAAAAATCCTCCACAAGGTTATGTGCACAAGTAAAGGTTGGGACAATGTAATGTCATCACTTCTGGGTAGTAGAGTTTTGCTTATTTTCCAACCGAACAGGAAGACAAAATAGATTGGACAAGTATTTTTAATGGCTACACCAAACCTCGCGAACACCTTTGAGTTCCCAGACTGATTTCGCTGGCATTTTATTAGTTTTTTAGACGGCTTCTGTGTTCATTAAATGAAAATATTGCCAAACTGCTTTTCGTCAGAAAGTGTAATTCTCGTAGACCATTCGAAGTTAAAATCTTGTATGAAATTCAAAGAAAAAAGAAAATCAGTCGAGGAGTCAGTACTGGTACATAAAAAGAGACATGTAATCTTCATGAATACACACGTACTCAAGATACACTAATGCTAGTACTGTAGCACTTGTGAGTCTGATACTTGTACCTTATAATTAAGTTACGACTATATATTCTCCTCTAGACATATGAAATAAGTGTGTAGAAAATTACTTATTAGGCGGTAGAAATTGATGGTGAACCTGTACTCTAATCTGTCGTCCCGAAGTTTGTACCTCTGGCTGCTGTAATATAGTATCATGTCCCACTTCTGGACTTTGGATTGCCACATCTGTGCTTCAGAGCGCATTTACGCTGCTTTGCTTTTGAGTGTGTATTTATTACCCCTTAAAGGTCTATCTGGTCTCCCAGATATAGTTGTCCCTACAGCACAAAGTCCAAATGCTTTTTTGAAAATATTACTCCATGAATGTGTCAGAAGCTTTCGCTGTTGCAAACTACCCTGCAAATTATTTTAGACAGTGTGGCGTATTACCTGGAAAAATTACATCAAAGAAACTGCAGAGCAAACCGGAGTTCTTCAAACTGCTGAGAGCATATCTGTTGCAGCTCCACGCAAGGTTAGTACTACAGGTGATTGGCTTAACTTTAAAGATCCTGAAATACTGGTTAAATGAATGAAATGGTGTGTCAAGGAAGTTAGCCCTAAGTTCCTATTGTAATGAAGACGTTTGGCGATTTGAACCGATAAATACTATGTATTTCTTTCAACTTTAAATCCAAAACACCAGTATTCCCTGAACGAAATTATATTGTTTGGCAATTAAAGTGAAGACAACTACAAATTTTTTATTCGTATTTGTTCAAGTCTTAATTCAACTTGCAAGCGATCGAACCACTCGCGCCTTCGAGTTGCTCACCAATGGCTGCCAGTTCCAACAAACAAACGTTCAATGTTCACGTCCATTGACACTCCCCGGCAAAAAGGGGTCCATCCCTTTTTCTCACAGCGGCAATAACCTTGAACTGAACTGCCAATGCGGGAACCTGGGCCAATCGGGACTAGGCTAAAATGGAAAAGCAAGACAAAAAAGCCCAACACACAACAAGCATACCACATCACACCGAAACGCTCTCCCCGGCGCGTGGGATCTACGCTCTCCGACGACAGTACCACCACTGATCGGGTTCACGAAGTATTGGTTGCTTCATACCACTCTAGCACAATCCTCTCCCCGGCGTATCCAATCGCGTACGCTGACTCTAACACTACACGATTCGTTCACAAGTTTAGAAGCGACTTCAGAAGTACTTACAAAAACATTACAAGATGATTCACACAATGCGACAACTATGAAATTAATCAACAATCAGATGAATCGGAACCCACTCAGTTACTTAACACAAACATATGTACAATCAATGTATCAAATGTTGTGGATTCTGCCTTGACGAGCTACTCTTGAAGAACTGTAGGACTTACAGCAGTACGCCTACAACCCTTCTCAGATTTACGCCCTTAAGTTGGAAAATCGTTGTTGAGTTCATCTGCTGACCTCCTTCCATCATCTATATCGTCGACTCTGAATGGTAACACGCCCATCAAACTGTATCTTGGAAGGTAGATGACTAACAAACATACGACGTATCTGACCAACCAAGCGAAGGTACAGAGTAATTTGCACCAAAGATAATAACATTCAAATAGTAGTTTGAAACCTGAAATGCCTTTATTCGTGCAAGTCAGTCTAACAGTTACCACCTTGTACACAGTTGGCTTATCGTCACTAAACTGGCCATTAACCTTCGTCCCTTCGAACGGACCGACACTAGCATAATCACTGCATAAGACACGTGGGTTCATGGACGACTCTTTTACTGCATATAACAACACCAACGACGACTGGCTGACACCAGTTGATGAACTTAGCGGTGTATCAGAAGCTGTTGTTGTTAGACCTTTAGGAGGTTGTCTAACCACAGGATTACCACCACTGCTATCATTTATTATTAGCTCCAGTTCAGCTTTAATATCTGTCGATAGTTGGGCTACACTCGGATCATTTACACTGACGGTCTCACTAGTATCCATACCTTCTGCAACCGCATCTGCCTTTAGTTCTACTTTACGTTCAAGTTGTACAGAACCTTTGTTCGACTCAGTAGTAGAAGGCATTCCGCTAATCTCATCATGATCAGCCACAGACAAATGTGAACTATCGTGACCATTGTCACAAATACCCACTTTACCGCCGACTGTATGATCGATTTCATCATTTTCACACTCTTTAATAACAGCCGTAGATGGCTTAGGTTCTTCTTCATGAATCCTTAAAGGTTTTATTCCTTTACTCTGACTAGTAATACCTCGTAAACTTGTGGAGTGACAACTGGACACTGAAGCTGTATCCCTCATCTTATGCACAGACTGCGGTGTCGTCTGAGACACTCTTTTCAACAATGGATTACCAGTTACGACTACAGGCTTCTTCACCGCACCATTATCGTCACACGATTCGGAGTCAGAACACGATGACGCTGACTTCACATTTAGCTTACCACTAAACTTGCTCAATGCTTCACAGTTCGCCTTTGTATGCACCTCTTGCAAACGAACGAAGCACAACTGTGTTTGTCTTTTAGCTTGTAACTTATCCGTCGGGGAAATCCCACTAAAGCTGTCACAACATTAGGTTTACCAAACACTATACAGCTTTCTCGATATCCGCTACGCTGAGACCCCTTCTTCATAAATGATTGCATTTTGCTCTCTGATTTCTCCATTCCTGGGGTGGGATACAGTATACTAGCAAACTTGCTCAAAGCTTGGTTGACACTGTCTTTCACCAGGCTCACAATGTCATCCAACCCGAGCTCTAAACCCTCCTCCTCTAGACGTGAACAAACTTTTATGAACTTCCTTTGTAGACGAACAGGTAATCTCTTGGCAACAGTCTCAAGCACGGAACTTGAGTTCAATTCATCTACGCAGTTAAGAGACATGAGTGTATTTCTATATACCATCAAATTATCCAAGAACTCTGCAAGTTCCTCTGGATTATCGTTTAACTGTGGCCCATTACCTTTCACTGTCTCGAAAATACTGCGGGATATCATAAATGGTTTTCCAAACCTTTGACGTAGTACCTTCATTGCCTCAGCATATCCTTCGTTCGGGGGCATAAACTTGCAGCACTGTATGGCCCTTGCAGCCACACCAGTGCAATATCTTAATAAATACATTAACTTCATTTCATCATTTAATACAAAACCACTCAGCATGACCTCAAACTCTTTGATGGACTGTGGGTAGTCGGCTGGGTTTCCGTCGAAGTATCGCGGTTCAAACTTAGGCAGTCTTAGGCCCTTACTATCACTTAATGGTGAAGCGTGAACATCAAACTCAACATGCTGAGCATCATACATATCATTACAATTAACAGGCAACTCATCGTTACTTACTTTTTTGTCTGCTTCCATGGTGCCACGTCCCTTTCTTGACCCAGGCATTATCCAACGTCACCAAAGAATCCAAATTGCGTTGATAATCCTTGTCCAAAGAGAAGCTGGCTGCAGATCTAGTAAGTACACCCGAAAGAGTATCAGAAGGCGCTCCAGAAGACGAAGAGAAGAATAAAAACTGTTCCATAAGGCGAACAGAAGAATAAAAACTGTGAAGGAAGTTAGCCCTAAGTTCCTATTGTAATGAAGACGTTTGGCGATTTGAACCGATAAATACTATGTATTTCTTTCAACTTTAAATCCAAAACACCAGTATTCCCTGAACGAAATTATATTGTTTGGCAATTAAAGTGAAGACAACTACAAATTTTTTATTCGTATTTGTTCAAGTCTTAATTCAACTTGCAAGCGATCGAACCACTCGCGCCTTCGAGTTGCTCACCAATGGCTGCCAGTTCCAACAAACAAACGTTCAATGTTCACGTCCATTGACATGGTGCCTCGTTAATTTTTACAGGTATGAGATGTTGATGACTTTGACTACTCAGTGGTAGTGAATTTGCTGGTAAATTGATAAATGTTAAGTCGTACTCAGTCTCAGACATCTGAACTGAACTACTGAGTCCAGGATTATTTCCTTCATCACACCCCTTCAGGACGAGTGTTCTCAAAATTTGTCTGTCAGTCAACACTAACACTGTTTCACACTTTGCTTGTAGTTTTGCACCCTTGACTTTCAGTGATGGCTTACCGGGCGTGAGTAATAAACCTCTAGCAGCGAAACGGCATGGTTTCTAGTCCAGTCACTATCGCCCAGCTTTTCTTCTTTAGGCACGCAAAGTCGAGATAGTGCAGCTGATGCTGTATTTTGTTGAATGGTACATCCATTGACTTTAGCAAGACATTTGATTAAATGTCTCTGTTAAGACTTCTGGTAAAGTTATTCATTTATGAGTCAATGAAAATTAGTGTTATCCAAGGGACAGAAGTTGTCGAGGAAATGTTAATGGATCGAAAACAGTTTGTCTTCGTACTATTTGTAAGCGCTGTGATGGCTAAATCATCCTGTCATATTTTCACTGATGATATTAGGCTCCAGAATACTTTACACAGTGAGAACGATAAGAATGTTATTAATCACAATAGAAAGATCTTATGGCGACCCACCAGTCAATATGACCTGACCTCATCTCTCATGATTATTACGTGATTACTAATTATTTTGGCGTAAACTCCCACTACTGGCGGTTGGACTTGAATGAGTATTGCATTCCGTTCCTTATAAGCACGTTAATTTGATTCACTAACCATTTTGCTCGAGATATCAATACTATTCAGTATAAGTTTGTCCTTCCTTGAAGGACAGTTGACTTTCTATTGTTATCTTTGTGTAACTTTATTAATCCCCCACATTTTAGAAACAGATAAAGTTTGCGTTTAGTCGCCTGGATTTTAACTATAGTCAGGACTAGACTCCGTATCTTCAGTATTGAAAGTTAGGGCAAAATATCTGTGGGCTAATTTAGTCCTACAATTTTTTCCCAAGGAGGTTTTAATTTTTGGAGGATGAGGGAGTGTAGACCTTCACGGAAAGTACAACGTGCATTAACGTAATTTCTTATACTCATAACTCCTACAGTGTTTGTTCCCTATAGAAGAAATGTAAATCAAAACACTGAATTTGCTGTCCAAAACATGAAGCATATTCCGTCACCAAAATCTGATTGCAGCGTTTACTGCTTAACTAGCTATCGGCCATGATCGAATGCTCAAACGTAACATGATGGCATGCAAAATTGGGTGGATGCTTCACAGCTAGCCTTCAGCTGAACAAGTCGAATTAAACAGTGAACGTGGTGGTGAATTCTGTGGGCTAATAAATTTGGAGAAATATGTACTGTTACGGATTGATTGGTTAGGCGATAGAAATCAATAAAAGCATTGGCGTAGCTAGATGTGTCCTGCTTAACAGCTAGCCCTATCACGAAATATATGATATTATAGAACTAGCGGCTCCAAATCATAAATACTACATGGCAATTGTGAACCACGACCCTAAGACCGTATCAAGCTTTGTGTTGTGTGATAATTCGTCCCGTTTTTTCTTCCTCCAACCACCCTAAGTCCAAGAACTAAAATCGAATGCTTTACATCTGTGAGTTAGTTTCTCGGGTCGACTCGTAAACCAGTGAAATTCCCAAATGGAGAATGCCGTTTTGGAATCTTTTGCAGATTTATTCAAATCAAAATCGGAACTCCAACTTATAACTAATCGAGTGGATTAATATCGACCTAAACCGCATCACTAAGAATTCCTAAACTTTATTCGTTCTCACAAGAAGGAAGTGAAACAAGCTCATACACTGGAAATCAACCAATTATTTGTAATTCTTTCGACAGTTTGTCAGCACGAATTGAATTTTAAATACTAATTCTAGTAGGCCATGGGTTTCAAGCCCTCTCCACTTACTAAAGCCTAAGTAAATAAATATGCAGTGTTGTTTGCTCTGAGGCGGTGGTTATACTTTCTGACGTCATGGAATCATAATGCACACTAAACAGCATTCGTTAACTTAGCTCACTGCTTCTGGAATGTACAATATTAGTGCTCCCCCATTAAGTTTGAGGAATTGTGGCGGCCTAAAAACATATCAAATTATATGTTCACGAAAAAAAGAAGGAATTCAACCTTAAAACTTGAACCGCGCGCAAGGAACGAATCGTTCGCCCTCTCTCCGGCTGCTCGCCCAGCACATCTGCTGACCAACGCTCTTTCGCACTGGTTGACACATCCCCGTCAAGAACTTTGCTCCTATCTGCTTTACTCTACGTGGAGACTTCCGACGGTTGACAGCGCTAAGTTGTAGTGGAGAATTGGTATAATCAAGAGAAGGACAATTACGTTCCTATAATTTCGTACGTCTATAATTTGTGTATTTTGTGACTGTTATAGTTTTCTTCAAATAACCTCAGTCCTTTTTGTGTATATTAACTTAAGTGAACTGAATACTTTATATATACGTATTTGTTAGTACTTGTTCTGTCCTTTTAGTTGCGTTTATATACTTACCTAGCTACTAGGTCCACTACAGAATGCCAGTCTCTTGGTTAGGCTCAAAAGAAGGTCAGCAAAAGTCATGGTGGATCTCTGGAATATACGATAAGATTAATAGTTACAGAAATTCTGTCCTTCCATACTTAGCCGCTGTCAGCTTATGGGTCACCTAATTATTACCTACAAGACTACAAATGAATAGAATCACTCAAACAAAGGTATTCTGCCATTATTGGCTTCTTTTTGACAACCCACGGAGGATCGCCTATGAGAGGGCAAAGACTCGGGCACGTTCCTACTTCTTTTAGCTTCGAGTCTACTGTCTCGAAACCCTTTACCAGAAGCTACTGCACCTTCCATGGGAGGCTTTGATCAGAGGCTGGGTAAACATGCCGCAACGTATGGACTATAGCCAAACAGACCGTCATCTTGAGGCTCATGCACTACGCCCGACTAATGGGTATAATCTAAGCTACACCTTTACCACTCCCAATTCCCCCTTGTCTCACTCTTCCGACTGCTCTCCTTATTCAGTCACTAAATTTACCATCATTAATAGTTTAATTTATTTTTTATTTGTTTTTAATCAGCAGACTTCATGATCTATCTGTTTGTACGTTTTCCTCTTGATGTTTACATAATCTCCACTAATTATACCTATTAGTGTTACCCTCTAAGACCGTTCAGGACACCTAGTATATAAAAGAGTAGACTTTTCACAGCAGGTACACAGAGTTTAAATAGGACATGCTACTAACCACATGTAGCCGATCTCCGCACCAATCACGTTGAGTTCAACCAAAGCTATAGCACCTGAATGGCAGGGGACCCTATGAAGTACTGATTGGACCTCTACCATTTCGACTTTTACGATCGATTTGTTTATCCGTGCTGAACGAATCACACTGCGGGAAGTTGGATATACAAAGGACAGTGGCACAGTTGCTGCGTTGAAATAATAATTAATAAATGCATCCTTGAATAACGGTATTATATTCTCCCTTCACTATTTGAGGCGGTGTCGATAACAACTGGGCCACCAAGTTAGGTTAGCTACTTTAGAAAGCCAGCAGGTTGTGTGGCCATAGGTCAGGCCTGACAGAGGAGACGGCAGTACAACAACCATGGGAATTTTTTCTAATCAAAGCCGACTGTGAAACCAGCTTCAGGCCATTCAAGTAGTTCAACTGGTTTCTTTGCACACTACTCAGGTCAAGAATCTTTACCTTACGACCAAGAGGCGAGGACGTAGAAATCAGTTTAGTTTACAATTTTTCTCAATAACGATACTGGACTGCACTAGCTACTTGACTAGTAGCATTCATTAAGATCAAACGCTAGGGACTAGAGACATGACATCTACCAACTCCTAGGAATCAGTCAAAATGTGAGTGTATCTCTCCACTTGAAATTGCATTCTACAGGCAGTCATAGGTTCGCAAGTTGAAGTTTTGTCAAATTAGAAATAAACGAATACACAACTATTATTATTCTTATTGTCTAGCTCAATAACGAACCTATCTCATGTACGGAACAATTCAAAACCAGAGAGAAGTAGTGGAAAACTCTTTCATTCTAGCTTGGGACCCCCCAGAAGCACGCACCCATCACCCCACCACCAGCGATTGAACCCATCGCCTACAGATTACTAGGCGAGCGAATTGACAATTAAGCCAACCGATGAACGGAATCCAATGGCCCATCAGTTCTTACTTCTTATATATATCTTCAAATGTATTCAACTGTCTGTTTTACGTCTTCCTTTTCTGTCTGTTAGTCTGAATAACTTCACTAATTATGTCTATTATTATTATCTCTTTTCTTTTGACGACGACACCAGAGAACTAACTGGTGAAAGGATCAACTCCATTTACAGCACTACTCCTTTTGCAGTCAACCAAAGCCATGACAGTCAAGTGGCGGGACGAGCTACGCAGAAGTCTACTGAAGATCAGGAACCTATACCCCACAATCAAGAGGCGAGCACAAAAAATCCAATTGGTTTATACTAGCTCGTAAAAACGATATTGGATATTGGACTAATCTGCGTTCAACTCACTGCAAAGTCCTCATCCCAGGGCCGTTATACTTTAACATGGACATATATATATTTACACATATAATACCACTGTCAGCAAATATTACTGGCAAGTATTTGTCCTCACACCCACCTTACTGGACCCCACTGGTGCTACTAGAACTTCGTCTTGTAGCCAGCCACCTAGTGAACACTAGATGACTTTTCCAAGTGTTGCTTTATTCAGGTACTCAGCTGATTTGAGGCTTGAGGCGCGACCTAACCTAAATCAAATGCTTTCGAATAAACACTATCATTGTAAATATAAGCCATAAATAGTAAGTACCAACATGTATTTATGTATTATACACATATACACAAATATACCTACATACATTACACAAAAATATGTTAGAAAAAAGAAGGCATGTTAATCATCTCTTCATTGACTATACAGAAAACAAGAAAAAACCATAAAAAATATATATATAAATGTAGACATCTCAAAATACTTTTTTCTCTCATCAATTCAAACATTATACCACCACTAATAAATCATTTGAGAATTCCGCGTTAATTTTGAAGAAGCAAAATAGACTTAGACATCTCTGGTAGACAAATTAATTAATTAGTTAATATATGACTGAATTACACCAGTACCAATTATTTGCACGCACGCACGCACGCACGCACGTACACACACATTTAAAGAAAAGAGTAAGCTAATTTGAATATTACTAGTAGTAATATTTACTACTTTTAAGTAGTATATAGCTAAATACCTAAATAAATAAATAGCTAAACATAGTAGGAAGCGTCTGAAATGACAAATTTATAATTTTCTAATTGTTCTGGTGTAAATTTCAACGATTGTTCATGCCATACTTCTTGATGACTACGTGAATATGCTGACAGAGTTGATGAAATCACTTGTTTTATTGGTTGTGGATCATGTATATGATTGGATAATTCTGAGATAATCATTGGTAGATAATCCGGTGTTGTATGCGGATGTCCATGGATAAATGAACATAAAGCTAATACTGATCGATAACGTGTTTTTACAGCTTGACGATATTCACTGTCAGTATCATCAGTAACAGCATCAGCATTATCAGTTGGTGTATTGTTTGAATGAACAATATGACCATTGGGTAATTGATGATTTATTGATTTTGGTAAAGGTTGATTGATTTGTTTGATTAATTGACGAATCCATTTTTCATCATACTAAATAAATCAATGATAATAATAATAATAAAACAAATAATCAGAACACATATTAACAACTATACATATAATATTATTCATATTGTAAACAAAACCACTCCAGCATTATTGGTGTTAACCGAACGTCGGCGAATATCGTACAATTTGTGTGTTAGACTTTATACTTCATGAAGGACACAGTGAAGTATGACAAAACTGGAAAGCAAAGAAGGTATAACAGACAGAAATGTATGGCATCATGGTGAATCATGTATTATTATTATTTTATTCCTTTACGATCCGATTGGAACCATAGGGCTTCAGGCTAGAGCTCCGAAGTTTCAGTAGCAGTGGTGGGGTTGCTAGTCTCATTCCCAACCTTCCCTCTCTACCGACCTTACTGTCGGCTTAGTGAGGTTTAGGGGTGAGTCGGCCGAGGGCTGAACCTCGAACCACGTGCGCGGTTGGCGAGCGTTCTACCGGTGAACCACCTGTCTGTCTGTCTGTTTCCGACATAGAACTTTGCACATAAGTGCTGCAGTTCAAGTCGCCACACTCCCTCCTTGTATCACACAAAGCAAGAGAAGAAAGTAGAAGAAATGCATAATATAGACGGTAAACACAGGTGTGAGACAAAGGAATAGTAATGACGAAGAACGATATAGTTTCATTGGAAATCATGAGTCACAAGAAGTGGATGCATCTGCGCCAGCCACTGAGAACGATTTTGAACCATGTCACCAATTGTTTCCAACCATTGGCTTTTACCGTCCCGAGGACCCCAACCAGTCAGGAAGTTTACACCTTCCTACGTGGCTTAGACTAACTGTCGTAGATTTCATTGATTGATGCCATGTTTTCGTTTGACCGCCACAGTGAACCACCAACGCATGTGGGGAATAATGAGGAGGATTTAATTCATTTGAACCATTGTGAAAGATTTGGGACCATGTTGAAAACTGTCCCGAAACCATTGATTCTTAAAATGTTCACTGACTGACTGGTTTCAATATAGAACTTTGCACATGTGTGCAGCAGTCCCAGTTGCCATACTCCACAACCCATGTAGCACACAAACCAAAAGAAGACAGTAAAGAGAGAAAATAAACACAAGTGAGAGGCGGAAAGAATAGTAATGTGGAAAAGCAGCAGAGTTTTATTGGGTATGACTGGCAGATCAGAAAGAGTGAATGCATCTGACCTAGAAATAAAAAACAACCTTCAGCCATACCACCAATTGTTTCCAGCCTTCATTAATCATCATCATCATCATCATCATCATCATCATCATCATCATCATCATCATCATCATCATCATCATCCCAAAGACCCCAACCACTCAGCCAGCCAGTCTACACCTCCACACAGGGCTGGCTGGCTTAAACTAACTGTTATGGATTTACGAATCAGCTGAATGACCTTACTCCAAATGATGAGGACAAGAAGAGACGGTTCAAATCTAAGCCGTTCGACGTCATATTCCAAATTCCTCTCTGAATAGCATCAAAAGGCATTGAAAGCTCTCAGAAATAATGTTATGGATTTTATTGACTGATGAAGCCATGTTTTCGTTTGATCACCTCTAACTATTTTCCAACCTAGTCCTATATCCCCTATCATTGCCCGACGAGGAAGGTGATGGCTAGGGATGTATGCATAACACATGTCCTAACCATATCAATCGATGTGGCCACTTCACAACCTGATCGATTGATTTCCCATTCTCATACCTGACACTACGCTTAAATCCATTGTTATTACGCCACTTAACAAGCGAGTTAAAACGCAAGGCAAATTCATGTTATGCAGTTAATCAATAGATATAACCGTTATCTAGTCCAGTTTTCACACATTTTAGCATTTACATGCATGTGTAGGATGCCAAAAAAGTAGGCAGAAAAACAAATTAACAGATTGTACACCGCATACAACTGCGTCACTTCATTACTGACACATAAATCTTAATAGTACACACACAAAACTAAATTAATACAATACCTACATAAATACTTAGAATTACAAAGATTATGAGGACGAAATGTGTACATATACATATACGTATTGTTAAGCTTTCATTGACTAGTGTGGTGAGAGCTGTCGTCTGCTAGCCAAAATTGGTAGACACCAATTGACGTCAATGTTTACGTCCCAAATCGTGGTCATGAGAAAAGACAACAACAAAGCTTAACCTTGATGATCGGTCGGTCGGTCGGTTTTCGACATCAAACGCTGCACCGATGTGCGACAGTTCAAATTGCCACACTCCATGTAGCACACAAACCAAGAGAAGAAAGTAGAAGAAATGCATAATATAGACAGTAAACAGAGGTGTGAGACAAAGGTATAGTAATAACGAAGAACAAAACAGTTTCATCGGAAATCATAAGTCACAAGGAGTGGATGCATCTGCGCCAGCCATTGAGAACGATTTTGAGCCATGTCACCAATTGTTTCCAACCATTGCTTTTTACCGTCCCGAGGACCCCAACCAGTCAGGAAGTCTACACCTTCCTACGTGGCTGGCTTAAGTCAGCTGTTGTGGATTTCATTGACTGGTGCCATGTTTTGGTTTGACCGCCTCTAGCTCTTTTCCAGCCTGGCCCTATATCAGCTAACATTGCCCGTCGAGGAAGGCGATGACTAGGCTGGGCATACGTAACACATGTCCCAACCATCTCAGTCGATGTAATTTCATAGTCTCGTCGACTGATTTCCCCGCCTTACCCAGCACTCGACGCCTAACCTCAATATTGCTCACCTTATTATATCACTTTACAAGGGAGATAGAACGCAGACACCTATGATCGAACACAGATAATCTTTTCATGTCTTGATGAACTCACCAAACAATCACAGAAGACTTAGCGTCGGCGGATACGATTCGCAGATATATCACAAACAGAAAGGACTAGACACGTCACACTAGTTACTAGTGTCCAATCAAAATACCCACTACAGTCCTGCAGGAGGTCAGTCGCGAGCCTGCCCAAATAGCTCAATGGTAACTTCTCTGACTGCAGCATTGGGTGACGCGGGTTCGAATTTCAGAAGGGACATGAGTTCATTCAAGGTTGCAGATACGCCTTGCCAACTGTTGAGTGCCAACTAGCACGAAACCTAGGTCAGGCAAGGCTTCCTGTGGCCGATTGCCTCCAACTATCTAATATCATCATATCACCAGACTGTCTAAGAAACGGCCACAAAGAGATGACAGAATAACCTTCAGCAGGAAAACAACCAATCAGAAGACGTCACCTCTCTGCTAACAATAACGCTAATAATAATGTACATAAAAATCGATAAGTATTTGTTGATTTTCTCAATAAACGATCTGTTGCCTGCCCCTTGTCTTCTGTCATTACATTAGTACTTCACATATTGATAATTTAAAGTGAATCCTTTGTTCACCTCATTTAAAATATGATCAACCATTCATTTTTCTTGTACAGAGCAAATGTTACAGTTAGTCAATAGGTGCATTACTATCTGACTTGTTGTATTTCTTAAATGCTACTTGACACGTGTAACACTACAAAATTGCTCCACTCCACAACCGGCCGGGTTTCGATCCCCGGCCGACGCACTCCTTCACCTTGCTAAGCCAGAAATAATGCTGGTGAAGAGGAAAGGTTGGGCATGAGGCTAGCAACCCCATCCTGTAAAATAAACACTGCTACAGGAACTTCAAGCCTCTAGCTTGAAGCCCTATGTTCCACTGGGGAACGTGAAGGAAAAGAAGTCCACAACCTGCAAATGCTTCACATATATCTGAGATGTAGAGAAAAATAGAGAGGAATCTTGTGTGATATACTCGCCCACATAACGTTTTAATCCTAAACATGACTTTCTGTATAAATACTAAGATTGTATGATTAATTCGCTTATTAAAAATGATGTGAACATTTGAGACAATAGACAATAAACAAGTGTAGCTTTAAAGGTAATGACGGTCTCCCTTCGAAAATTCTCTAATACTAATGTATACATCCATATTTCTCTATCCAAAGGAAGGATTTGACTCTACCGACTGAGAGGTGCTATGGCAATATCTTGTCATAAAAGAGGGGGTGGGGTACCAAGAAGGTATATCACACTAATCAAGGCATTCTACTTGAACTCATGCAGTCATGAAGTGATGATAGCTGCTGGTGTCCATCGTTTTCATTTGAATTCATCGTAGATGTACTAATGGATAGGACACTAATCGCTTTTAGAGACTTCAGGATTCACTTGCAACCAAAGTAGAGTTTCGCTGACTTGTGGAGCATGCGGATAATATTTTCCTCTTAAGTGAAAGTGGCCGACAAATACAGAGTCTTCTGGACATTTTGAGCTGAAGTTTTCGAATTTTTGATATGTCATTCGTCCCCGTCAAATTTAAAATAATTCTGGAGGATTGAAATGCCCCGACTCTTAGCTTAAAGATAGGGGAGTAGAGTCGCGGAGTATGTTGACCACTTTGCTTATTTAGACAGTTGCATCCGCTCCAATGGCTGATGAAATCTCAACACGTATACAAAAGGCTCGTGGGGTATTCACCAAAGCACGTCTTCTCTGGTGTAGACGTGATATTCGACTAGCTATCATTTAAAAGACATGTGTGCTGAGCGGCAATTCGCACTGTCCTTCTTTATGAGTGTGGAACACGACCGTTGAAAGTGGAAAATATAAAGAGACTAGCTGTCTTTGACAACAGATGCTTCCGTTATATCTCGCGGGTTAGTTAAGTAGTATAATATGGTGAGTAATACTAAAGTCAGGCGTAGAGTGTCAGACAAAGAGTGCAAGCCAATCGATCAGACTGTGAAGCTGCATTGAATGAAATGGCCACGTCATGTGTTACGCATGTTAAGCCGCCACCTTAGGTTTTAAAAGAGTTGAGGGTGGTCAAACCGACACACTCAAGCAAACATGAAAACTTTAACAGTTGGTTTAAGGTATGTGGGTGAGTATGGACTGCTTGGTTGGAATTCTCGGGGTTCTAAGAACTGATGGTTGGAGAAAACTGGTATTATGGATAA